GGTTTCATAGGAAAAAAACTCAAATTAAAAATACATTTATTTTTTTTAAAGGAATAATGAAAGGGGGGCGCAACCAGTAAGGTTGAGGAAGGAGAACAGCACAGTTAGGAGAGAAACATAAGTGTAAAAGGGAGCCGAATAGACATTCAATGGAAAGACAAAATACATGTATACTGACATAATAATGTTTTGTTGTTTTTTCTAATTAACAAACAGATAAACAGAAATTCATATTTGTTTGTGTATTTGATTTTATTTAAAGGGTTACGGGAAAAGTGGAATGAATCGATGAAGAATATTCTACTTGTACAATTCCACATTCTCCTTTCCCTTGGTTAGCAATATCTTTCCCCACTATCGATATTGCCTTATCGTTGCAGGCACAGCGGCATGGGTTGTGTCGACAACGATCGAGTCGAGTCAGATCGGGTCTGGTCGGGTCTGGTCGGTTTGCTAGCCAGACTGAGGGTACAAAGTGGCTAATGTGGCACACACCGACCGCCCGACTCGTCGCCACAAAAACAAATGCGTCGAGAGTTTATTGCGGATGGTAACGAATCGGGTCGGGTCGATAGCCCGACTTGTCGTCTGAAGACAAACGTGTTTGTTTTTGAGGCGGCGAGTTATGCCACGATAGCCGCCTCAATCTGGCTAGCAAACCGACCCGACCCGATACCTGATCGTGCCAATGAGGGCCAATTTATTTTCAGACGACGAGTCAGGCGATCGACTCGATCCCACCCGATCCGACCCAACCCGATCCCATCTGCAATGGGCACTGAGAATGATATTGTCATGTCTGTGGTGGAAAGAATCGCGTCCGCGTACTGTCTGACGATGGCACCATTAACCATCAGCGGTAGATATAATGGCAATCCCGGTCCATTGAATGAGCAAAGGTTTGAAAACGACGTGAAATCCCAAGAACATTGTTAATCGATCCTTACACATTTCCAGAACTCGGCGGGTATTTTTCAGTTAATAACAGGCTGAATGGAAATCCATCCATCTTCCGAACCATTGGTCACATGCACTAATCTACCAATCTGTGGGCTTTCAGGCCTACAGAAAACATAGTGTGCGTTCTCCGATAGTGCGATGCTTGGGTATCGTCTATAATCAGTTTCAGTTATGGACAAGTGATGACGATGTAGGTCGTGTTGACGACCCCACTCACATTCGCGGTCAGAAAAGGATGCTGCAAGACGGAGATCGAGTAGCGAGCTTAAGGATCAACAAATAGAACTAGAACACGTTGGATCAGAACAATGGCGCTGCGTGAACACAGCTCGAGTCCTTTCTCAGGAAAGCGGTAATTCCCGCAGAAGAAAGAGATCTATCGTAGTATGAGTTGAACTCGCAACCCCCATACGAAAGATCCATGGAGTCACGGTGCTTACTACAGGTGCAGTGAAAGGGCATCACACCGAAGTGCATGTCGTGGGCCAGTGCGCCGAGACTCCACGTCACGTCACAGCGGGTATCGGAGGGTGCATTAGCGCGAGGCCACATTACAACTTAGCAAGCGAGAGCTGATGAAGCCAGCGTGAACCTGGCGATGAGCGATAAACTTAGGGGTGGCCATACAATGATGACTATGACATGAGCTGCTTTACTCAGGCGGAAAATAAGGGGCAAGCGTGCGGGAAACAGCTGAGATGAAAACTGGTGTGTTGACGGGCTCGTGGGTGAGAAACACGATTCAAGTAACGGATGAGTGATTTTTGAGACTCGCATGGAGCACGTGGAGACGTCAA